TTGTGAATGCTAAGTACTTCTGTAGTATCATCTTACAGTATTCTATTTAATTTCAATAGGGAAGCAGCAAATTAACATTGCACAAGAATATAATTTTTACATTTTGTACATAATGCTTGTGATTATGAATTTTCAAAATCTTCATGAATATTAAAATTGATGGCTTGGTGCATCCAAGGATTATACAACAATCTTTTTGGCTGTGCTGTTTTTCTTCTGTATTGCTTTTTCCTACATGTTTCTCAAAATATTAGCTTCATTTCTTTTTACCCATTCTATTCTTAAAAAACAAACCCATCCTTAGTTCAGATAATAAATCATTTGACAGCCATATAAAATCAAAACACATTCTTCTATGTATTTCAATCAAAACTGAAATTTCATTTTCTATGTATACCAAAAAATATTTACTATATTTTGAGGTTTACTTGCATTAAAATGAAAAGTAAAATAAATTTGTAATATTTGACCATTGCAAGTAAAAAGAAATCCTATAGTTTCTTGAAAATGCTTAGAAAAATGGAACTTCTTGAATTAATAAACTAGAGGAAATTTGAAGGCAAAAAAGGGATGCGGTGCAACTAGTGAACCTCTTTTTGGCATGCATACTTTTACTATGTATAGTGTGAGCAACTAGATAAGGAACAGTTATATTCTGTAAGTTGCTCACAGCACAATTCAGAGTATCAGCACTATATATAAAATCTTTGAGGATTGATGGCAAACAAATTACGTTAGCTCTCTGTTTTGTTGTGCTAGTGCTGCAGATCTTAGATTCCTGTAAATATCAGTGTTCTCTTTTCTAGAAAATTCTTCAAATCGGTGATATCTGTGTCTTAATATTTACCTTCTAGTGGTTACATCCTTTTCATATTACCAGATCTTTACAGTCATTTTTCCCTTGTCAGCTATGCTGTAAGCCTTTCAAGCATCCCCAAAACATGTTGACTAAATGCTATAAAGTCACTAGATACAACTGGTTTCACACTCTTGTTAATTCCTTCTGCCAAGCCATTATGTACTTTGTTCTTGGCTTAGGATAATATATATGGATCTATATGGGGAAAACCCAATCTCCCCAGCATTGTCCACTCCACTGGTACATGGAGAAACACAGTTCAACAGATAACTAAATGCATAATGCAAAATAAGAGAGGAGATATAATGCACAATCACAGATTAATTCTTAAACTTCTCAAAATCTAAAATATAGTAGAAAATAACATTTGTAACAGCTATTTAAGGATTATGTTCTGCATTTACGGAATGTAATCTTAATTATAATTTCAGTATTTATCACATTTTCCACTTAGCAGGCTGAACAATCATTAAACAGCACTCTTGGAATTTCTGGCACTAACTTTTTTTTCTAGACAGCCATTCTAATATTCATAGGCATAATTCCAACAGACAGATTTTAATATAGTATACTATTTTTCACTAACATCTCTGGAAAGCATGGCAGTGGCTTGCAACCTTCCTACCATACATCTGTTCTTTCTTTCTAATTGTCAGAAAACCTGTGTCTGCAGCTGAAACAAAGCAGCTGGAATTCAGTTTGAAAAAACAAAGGAATTGAAACTTGTCTTAAGCTATATTAGAATGGTAATTTTTAGGAATTCAGATGTGTATTCCCTATCAACTCTTGCAAGCATTAGGATGAATGTATTAGCTTAATATTTTGCAGATGCTGAGAAGGCATTTATTCATGGAATAAGAACAAGTTGATACACCTCCACCTTGTTCTCCAAACTAGAGTGTTGAGGGCCCCCCAATAGCTGAATATCAAGCATAAAGAAGCTATACAGGAGAGAAAATGAAGGGAAAATATTCCTATGTAAACAGAACTACATTTGTGCAATGTTGAATGTTACCCTTAAATCTTAAGCTTCACTTATCTTCAGAAATACAGCAAAATGTACCGTATTTGCCGGCGTATAAGATGACTTTTTTGCCCTGAAAAACATGCCTCCAAGTGGGGGGGTCGTCTTATATGCCGGGTCGTCTTATACGCCGGCAAATAGTAATTGGGAAGCACTGCGGCTGCCCGCGGCCGAGGCACTTTTGCGCACCGTGGAAACGAATCTTGTGAAGCCGAAAGGAGCAGCCAGCCTTCAGGCCGATGTAGGCGGGCC